AGTCCACAATATCCCTACCACCAAGAGAGAACAACAACTGTAAAATAAACATTGTATAAAATGAAAACAGAACTTTGTAAATAAGGAGAGGAAGAGAGATCAAAACCAGGGGAGGGGAACAGGAAAAAAAAAGAAGCAAGATATATCGTGTAAAGCTATAAATTACCTATCATGAGTGTAATTATTATGTATATCTAAATTATACCAATAAGCTACAATAGTGATAATAATGATAAAAATAATTTACAGGAAAATAACCCTCATGTGCATAGATGCAATACCTCTCACATGCGTATATCATTCCACATGAGAAAACTGAATTACACAGCATAAAAAAGGATCCTTCAGCAAGGTCTAGTCAGACCCATACCAAGAATGCATGGATGGACCACACTGAAAAGTAACAAACATAATATATCAAATTAACAAAATAAAGGACCAAAATGTTATCACATCAGTAGAAGTAAAAAAAGAAAATATTGGACAAGATTTAAGCTTCTTTATGATAAAAGTCTGTCAAAATTTAGAAGTGGAAAAACTGTGCCTCCCAGTTCATAAGAGCTATATCTTAAAAGTGGCCTTTATCTCTATCAGTAGATGAGGGTATACTGAAACTTCCATGGAGGATTCAGATCTCCCACCTGGCAATAACGTACACAGATGCAAAAGAAAGACAAAGAGAATATGCTGCAGTTGAGACGCTCTTGGATGACCAATACTATCTATGGAACAAAAGACCTTGAGTCCAAAAGTTAATAGCTTTTATTGGTATCAATCAAGGAGGTTGGTGGGGGTCACGGCAGAGTGCTAGGGAAAAGAAATTTGCAGGCATTGGCTGTAATGAGAAACTGAGCAATTCTGTATCAGGTACAAAGGCTCTCCAATTACCAGTATAAGGGACAATTTGATGTATGCAAGGCTGGCATCTGTACTGCCAGGAAAGTACAATTCTTTCTGAGTCTCATGACCTCAGCTGAGATGTCATCTCATGTCTTAACTCTGGAACCTCACAGACTCTTGCTCAAGCTCCCGTTTTAGCCGTCAGATGGGGTGATGGACTATTCTTGCCCAGACTCGGTCATACTCTTTTAACCAATTAAGACAACATCTTGTTCAATGTAGCCAGCTCTGCATATCTCAGGGACTAGGGTTAAAGTAAAGGTCAGGGAAAGATAAAGTAAAGGCGAAGGGTTTCATTTCTCAGGGGAACATGGCTTTGTGGTCTCCAACAAGTATAAAGAAAATGTGACATTTTTATGCAATGGAGTACTACTCAACCAAAAAGATGGATAAGCATAAGTCATTTGTAGGAAAATGGATGCACCTTAGATCACAATGTTAAGTGAAATAAATGAGACACACAAACCCAGCTATCACATGATTTCTCTTATATGAGAAACCCAAGTGTAAATAAAGAGCAAAATAAAGGAAAGATGTTAAGAAATACTGAGATACACTTTTCAGATGGGAAATGCACCAAGATGGAGAGTGACTTCCAGGAGGGAAGGGCAAGTGGATGGAAAACTAATTAAGATGTGTCATGTCCATGCACCAACTCCTCAAGAGGAATGTAACCATTCTGTATTACAAATCTAGACTAATAAAAATTTAAAATTTAAAAAGTAAACAAAAAGTATAAAAGAAAAAACATATCTCAACCCAAAAGTTCTAAAAATTGATCTAGTTATACTCATAGATAACAGCATACAGTACTTGGATGGAAGATATCAAGTGTTCCACCTTATATCTGGAACAAGGTACAGATATCCACTTATTACCACCAACCAACATGGAAGTTCTAGGCAGAGATTTATGAATAGAAAGAAACAGACGCCATGTAAATTGGAATGAATAAATGTAATTTATACTGTTTTGAAGAGTAAAATTTTTTTATGTGGAAAATCCAAAGGACTCACCCAAACTGTTAGAAATAATGAAATTTACTAGACACAAAATCAATATTTCCACATCAATATGTGTCTACACACCAACAGTGTGCAAGAAATTGAAATCAAGGAAACAATTTCAGTTATAATAGTGATAAAAATAAAATACTTAGAAATAATTTAACCAAGTAGGTAAAAGATCTTTACATTGAAAACTATGACACACTCATGAAAGCAACTGAAAACAGACCTAAAAAAATAGGACATTACACATTCATGTATTAGAAGAATTAATATTGTTAAAAGGTGAATAATACCCATGTTGATCTAGAGATTCTATTCAGTCTCCATTAAAGTGTTAGTGATAAACTTCACAGAAAATTTTTAAAATTTTGTGAAGGTACAAAAGCTTTAAAGTAGACATAAGAAATAAAGACAGCAAGAAGCATCACACTATCTGATTTAAAAATATACTAGAAAAGACGAGGGTTTTAGCTTTATGCTAGGCCACTAGCTTAGCCTACAGAGGACCATAATACTATATACTAATATTTGAAAGAAGGATGCAATAAGTAACAAATGGTGGTAAAGACAACAAGAAAATGAATACTTCTACACTGTTGGAAGAAATACAGTCTTTATGACCACTGTGGAAGACAGTAGGTAGACTTTTTAGACAACTACAAATGGAAAGTCTACTGGGCCAAGCATACTTTTCCTGAGTATATTCTCCAAAGATTTACAAGCATCATAGTAATTCATAGCCATACATCTAACAGCATAATTAACAATAGCTAACCTTTGGAGACATTTTAGATGCCTATCAACAGATGAAAAAAAGAAAAAGTTATTCAACTATACAAAGACAAAATCATGTCATTTGACGAAAAACACATGAGCAACTTGAGACCATAATGTGAATTGAAATATGTCATACAGAAAATTAAATATACATTTTCTTTTATATGAAAAACTTAAAATGTGTGTTTGTTAATATGTTTTCATTCTTTTATCTTTAAAATTAAAAAACTCTTAAAATATAAATAAAACTTTGAAGTTATCAATATCTAATACAACAACCACTGTTAATTTCATGTCACCTTGTCTGTAATTCAGTATTGCTCATATTGTTTTTGTGCTATTTTGTAAATGGATGTCTGTTTGTTAATATGTTTTTGTTCTTTTATTTTTAAAATTTAAAAAAAGATAGAATGAAGGGGAGAGAACAGGAAACCGGAAGGCAGATATGTTGGTAATAGAGAAGGGAGTTGGGAAGACGGAGGAGGCAGAAGCATGGAGAAGGTTGTAAAGGAATTGAAATTTATCAGGATATGTTACATACTTCTCCCAATTATCTGATACAAATGCAACTATTATGTGTTATAAACATACAATAGTAAACATTTTAAATCAATCAATCAATCATCAATTAATGAAAAGAACCAAAGCATTACCACTGGGGAGAGTCTACCATAATTTTTTACTTATAAAGGTCTTTGGCTCCTAATTAGATGTAAAAACCTAGCTCACTTTGGCGTTGACAAAGACAGTTGCAATCTTAGAGTAACAAAGCAAAAGTTCAATTTACTTATTACCAATTGTTGACAGTCATCCTCAGACAATACTAAACCCATACACTAACTGAAATAAAGAATGTCACTGTCTCCTCAGTTGGACACCTAAACACAGCTATATATTGAAAACCAACTTCATTTTTAAAGTATTTTTTATTTTAAAGAGAATGAAAAAAAGATACAGCATTTCAAACAAAGTGATAGGAAATTAACAATGATTATTATAGTGCATAATGTTATCTTCAATGTCATTGCTTAGATTACCAGATATAGGCATGTAAAATTGATCAAACAATATAAGCACTAACTGTTCCTCTCAACAAACTAGTAAAATTTAGTAACAAAATATCTTAGCTATCTTGTGTGTGTCTGTATATATATATTTTTTTCTTCTTTCTCCTTTCCCCCATCCCAGTTTTTCGTCCTCTTTCAGCAGTTTCATTCGTTTTTGAAATCTTTCATTTGTAGACAGTTGACAAAATACTTTTTTTCACCATGTTGTAATTTATTGCTCAGTGTTTAAGAAACACAAATAAATCTATTTAATGTAATGGAGAAATCAAAATGTGAGCAAGTGTTTAGAAAGTAACTTCAGGACAAAGGCACAGAGAGTACAAGATGGTACAATAGAGATATTAATGAGAAGGGAGCTTCTAAAACACAGAGGGCTCAAGGGTATGAAAGTAGGGAAATATTCTGAACTTTCAATGTAATGAAATTTAGTGATCATGAGTGACAGTGTATGACAATAGAGGTAGGAAAAGCACAGAGTAGTGCTATAAAGTGGCCCCACACAGCATTAAAAGGTATCTATGGGAAGGTGATATTGGAACAGGAAATTAAGAGCTTAAAAAACAGATATAATAATAAAAAGCTACATGGTGTTGAGAAATAATGCATTTGTACATGATACTTGAGGCAAACCAACTCATCTGCTACAATGAATTCCTTTTTTACTTTCCCTTTTGAATTTGATCCTTTTAGGAACTGAATGTAAACCTGCTTTGAAGTTTTTAAAGCCCTTATAGTTAGATCCATATAAATCAAAATCACTGGTGATAATACCCAGGTGTCAGTATTTTTATCCTTCTTGGAAGATTCCAGTAAAAGCCAAACTTGGGAAACAATGATATGGTTTATGGATATAACCAGTTTAAATAAATATCATCAATGCAATTTTCAAATAAAACATATGTGCACTTTGAAAACAGATGCAAATTTTAAATATGTAGAGTTTAGCATTTCACCTGGAGGCCAAGGTCACTTCTCAGAAACTACAGAGGCTGCTGTTCATAATGATTTAGTCATGATATTTGGGATAAAAAGAAGATTCAAAAGTATTTGTACAATCCAGTTAAAGGAGAGCCAAAGGAACCAATATTTAACTATGAAATACTGAATAAAAAGGAAGCCATACAGCTACAAAGAGGTAGAATTTGCAAGTCTATATGGTTGGATTATTTGCAAATCTAGATGATTGGATTTTACAGCACAAACACAAAGTACAATTCCTACAGTTCAGAAGGAAGAGATAATAGAACTACATTGTTCTGCTCTGCAGCCTGCACAGGGCGCGTTTCATGTCCTTGTTCCTCAGGCTGTAGATGAAAGGATTTAGCATTGGGATAACCACAATGTACATCACTGAAGCCACTGAAATCTTTCTAGGAGAGTGTAACACAGAGGATGTAAGGTACACTCCAATGGCTGTTCCATAAAATAAGCAAACAACAGAAAGATGAGACCCACAAGTAGACCAGGCTTTCTGCTTCCCACTTGCAGAAGGGATTCTCAGAATTGAGGAAACAATTTTATAGTAAGAGAGAAAGATCCCTGAAAGGGGAAGAAATCCATAGAGGGTACCTACAAAATACGTGACTATGTGTTTGGTGAAGTTGTCAGAGCAGGTGAGATTTAGAAGTTGAGAAGGTTCACAGAAAAAATTAGAAATGTTCATATGCTCAAAATACTTAAAGTATAAGATAATCGTATTGTGCAGCTGGGATTCTAAAAGACTAAACAAAAGAGACACCATGACTAAGGAGAAACAGAGGCGAGGGTTCATGATGACATGGTATTGCAGGGGGTGGCATATGGCCACAAACCGGTCATAGGCCATCACTGTCAGAAGCATGTCATCCATACATCCAAAAATTAAAAAAAGGGACATCTGTGTCAAGCAGCCTCTGTAGGAGATTACCTTGCTCTGTAATTGGGTGTCCATAATCATCTTTGGGACCGTGGTGGAGATGAAGCAGATGTCAGCCAGGGACAGGTTGGAGAGGAAGAAGTACATGGGGGTGTGGAGACGGGAGTCTGAGATGACGGCCAGAATGATGAGCAGGTTCCCCAGCACAGCCACCAGGTACATGGACAAAAAGAGTCCAAGGAGGATGGGCTGCAGGTCCAGATTCTCTGAGAGCCCCAAAAGATGAAATTCTGACACATGTGTTAGATTTCGTTCTTCCAAATTTCTTGGGCACCTTTTGAAAGAGAATGGAGTGTTGGAGAGAATAAAGAGCAAGTACCCAAACAGGGGTCCCAGTTGCTTTGATTTGTATATTTAATACACTGTGCAAGAGTTTGGAGAGTTAGTATTGCTTCATCTCAGCCCTAAATTAATGTTAAAAGCTTGTATTCAGAAAAATATTTATACATGTCACTTATTACCCAGGATTTTTTCTATTTCCTTCTGTTTTCTGATGACCCTCCTTTGTAGAGGAAGTACTCACTCTAATTTCTTTGTATTTTTAAAGTTGTTTAATATATAACTTGTATCCTTACCTTTGATGAACTTCACCTTTGAATAAGTACGTTTAAATTAAATTACATAACAAAAGCCATCACTGACCACAGATGTAGTGCTGATGTACACTTCACGTTAATAATTAAATAATGCAGGAAGGCAGTTCTTTTCTTTTTCCCTTCTGTATTCTACAGTGAAGGATCTTGGAACACTTCTGTTTTTCTGACCTTGAATTCTTCTGCCTATGTTTAAGAACTTTAGTACAAGGAAAAAAACCCAAAAAAAAAGTTTAACCCAAGCCTCCGAAAAAAATTAAATTAAAAAGGAAATTTTCTGGTACATGGGTTGCAATTTTTTTAACTCAGATATTTGAAGATAATTTGTGTTTATTCTTTGGTCCGTTCACAGTACAGTTTCTTAGGGAAATACAAAAAAGGATACTATAGAAAATGAAAATAAATGGACACAGTACAGTCCTCTGTAAAAGGGAGACAATAATTACTTCACTGTAGCATTATAAAAAACTTTGCTTTTTTTTCAAATTGCAGAGAGCAATGTTGCTCAATCCCATTTGTTAGTATGTTTACTTGTAAATATTTTAATATCTGGAATCTCTGATGTAGGATCCAATATAATTTTTTTCATAGTGTCTACCTGGGAAGTTCATGGTGGTGCTTTCCTGTACTAAGGCTGAGAATCCTTTGATTATTTCCTGGCATTCAGAAAATGAGCCATTAGCATCACATATAAATACAGTTAATAATAGCCACTACCTATATCTTTAAAATAAACAGTAATATGTTGTTTATAACTGATATTTTAGAGAGGTTCAGTTTATCACCTGTGAAATTTGAGATTAATGTCTCTACATGGTTCCATTCTCCTGTACACTTGATCGTAGCCCTTGTTCCACAAAAGAACTGCTGCTGTAACTTTAGTGAGAATATTTTAATGTTTTAACACTCTATGTATATCGGTACCCATCTCTGTCATCTACAATGTAACAGTATCTAGCTCCCCTGAAAGATACTAGGTGAATCACCACACTTTTTTGCTCAATAAAAAATCCATCCTAATCAAATGTAACCTACTACCTGTTACTGGTTGTGTATACTGACAAAAGCACCGCTGGAACATCTAGTATGCAACACTTGTGCACTTATTGACTACAGAATAACATCTTGTATAGAGAATAATAATTCCACTAGACTTCAGAAGAGGAGCTAATGCGCTGGGATGGGAGTTAAGAAATCAATATTTTAGTCACTTATCATTGATCTTGCACTGTATGCATAGTGAGTTTGGGTCTCTCCAACTCATGTTAAGTATGAGAAAAATGGAGAATACCAATCATTTTCCCAACCTGTGTGTCACCCAAGGGATGTGCAGAATTTGATAAAATTTTGCCTTTGTTTGCTTCACATAAAGAACTTCGTAGAAATGGTGAATTCATTGATGGAAACAAATGTCAAAAGCCAGTGAGGCCTGGAACAATAGGATTCTAAAATACGCATCAACTCAAGAATAAAGCTTACCACTTCTCCCTGTCTCTTTTTCTTTTTTTAATGCCCATGACCTCTTTGTCATGTCTTTGAATAACTAAACAGTGTGGGTGTTTTTAAATAAAGCTTTATGTCTTGCTTTTCTTGATGCAGCCACAAATAAGAGCTGTCACTTTTTTCTAGTGATTAGCATATATTCCTGCGGAGGATGACGGTTTATAGATGGAAAACACCACGTGTGCTGGAGCCACACTGATTACAACCGATCTCTGTGAGCCAAGCAATCCTCTACCCAGGGTAAGAGAGAGGTTTCTATTTTTGGTGCCCGCTCTGTACCAGTCACATTATACACTCTGGGGAAACAGAAATTAAAGAGAATATTTGTTTTGCTTTTTTCAAAACAATATGAAGATTCTATCTTACTCCAGAGAGAATGGCTATCATCAAGTAAATGTTTTCTCAAATACACAACATATAAAAAGACAAAAATTAATGTCCCATTTCATAAATACAAAAAGATAGAAATTAAAGAAAGATTTTTGGTTGAGTGATATGAAGTTTACTCTTGTAATTAATAGCAATACTAATATTTAAATTACATTCCATCTTTACTTTATACATTCATCACATTTTTTTTGTTCTTTTCTTTTTGTTTTTGTTTTTTTTCCAGTACTGGGAATCAAACTCACAACCTTGCACTCGCCAGGCAGGAGCTGTGCTGCTGAGCTAAATCCCCAGCCCCATTCATCATACCTTAATCCAATAGAAAGTGACTATATCTGTTTATTTCTTTCTTTGTTCCATTGTATCAAATAGAAATCCACCCAGATGCCAGTGACTCAGGCTCAAAGATACTAACAGCATGCTCATCACAGAAATAATAAAAGGAAACAATAGATTCAAAATTAAACTGTCAGACCCTGGGTCCCATTCACTAATCTTATTTTTTCCCGACCTCTAGACAGTGTTTAGCAGATATCCAGGTTTCTAACCATGCACACACACATCTGAGGTGCATTTTAAAATTCTGGTCAATTTCCTTAGTAGAAATGGAGTACTACTCAGTTATAAAGAAGTATAAATGTGAGACTTTTATAGGTAAATGGATGTAACTTGAGAACATACTTATAAGCAAAATAAATCAAACTCACATGTGTAAGCATCATATTATCTCATAAAGAGATAAAAAGGCTGAAAGAGTAAATTAGAGCCAAAATGTATGATAGATATTCGGAAATGGGAAGACAGTGTTCAAAAGGAAAGAGAAACTGGGATGGGGAAAAGGAGAAAAAAAAGAAGGGAAATATAAAAGAAATATATATACAAGATAGTTAAGATAGCTATACTACTAATTTCTATTAGTTCACTGAAAAGAAAGGTTTGTGCTTGTATCATTTTTTCATGCCTAAATCTTGTAACCTGAGCATTTACTTTGAAGCTAACAGTAAGCCATGTACTAAGAGTGTTATTCTCTTTCTGTCTTTGTTTGAAATTTTATATCATTGTTGTTAGTGTTTTTCCTCTTTAAAATAAAAAAGAAATGAAAGCAGCCCCCTGGTTTTATTTCTCCTTTTGAGTTTGAGCTATTGGACTGGAGGAATGGAGGAGCCTGTGACAAAAGCAAAACCAAGAGATGAGACAACAGCTACCGCAGAGAAGCATGAGAGAGTTTTCTTCTGAATTATAATGTTCCTGCCCTTTCAGCTATCTTCCCCTGTGATCTGTGGCTCTCCTTCCTACAGAGCATTCAGCCAGTGGCATGCAGTACTCCATGATTGAACAGGAAATCCCAAAGAGACCACTGCAGTGAGCAAAGGTCACCCCCGACCCCGAAGTGACAAGGAAATGACATAACTTGAGTTGTTAATTGGAATATTTTCCAGCATTCTCCTGACAGGATTTTCACTTCATGATGCTATGCTTTCTGTCATTCTCCTCTTCCTCATGGACTTCATCTGTTTCACAACTGCAATTTCAAGTAATACTATACAAAGACCCACTTTATCCTTTGGTAGGTGGAATGTCCATGGGAAGCATAACAAGTGAGGGAAGAAATTAAAACTTTGAATTGGTTACGAGAGGCCACAATACAAGAAACACAAAGTTCACAGCAATTGTAACTGAAAATTTGTGATCATTATCCTCCCAGATGGCTTCCTAGATGATCTGCTTGTCTGGATGATTAGGAAATAAAGTTTCTAATACTCCTCCACCCATCCATCCTTGCTCTCAGCACTTACTGAGTAAATGGGCTTCTCTGCTGGACCATGACAAAGGAGTGCAGATCCAAAACTTGTTCCTTGATTTGTACACTCCGAAGGTGCTGGCTTCCTTCTCAGTTTGAAATGAATATAGTGCCAGATATAAGCTTCCTGATAAACACCTCGGTAGAGGAGATGCTATAGAGGTTGCCAGACTTTAAAATCGAACTGGAGCCTGGGGACACACGCTGATATTGACTGCTAGATGACCTTGGAGGCTCAACGCACAGAGCTCGTAATTAGCCACATTGGTTTATGTATTGCAATCCTTATAGACTTCCTAATAGTGCTCGAGGAAAAGAACAAGAAACTAAATGTCCATCAAACTTCCGGGGCTCTTACTCCATTCAGGTGAAAAAATTTACATACTATTCACTGGAATTTTTTCTTTTCTTTTCTTTTGAAAAAGATTTTTCTGTATTTTACGTCCATTGAGATTATAGTAAAATACATACAGCAAAATTATCTCTTTCATCAATTTTATGTGCACTATTCAGTGATACCAATCATGCTCATCATATACAAATATAAAACATCCATTTCCAGAAATACTTCCTTTTTCCAAACTGAAAATTTGTATCCATTTTTAAAACTTCACATTGGTTCTTCTCCTCACCTTGACAATGACAATGGTGAAACATGTTCACAGGGGCTGGGAGTTTAGCTCAGTGGCACAGCACCTGCCTGGGAAGCACGAGGTTGTGAGTTCTATTCCCGGTAACGGAAAAAAAAAAAAAAAAAAAAGAAAGAAAAAAAGAAACATGTTCACAAAATAAAGCTTAAAATCTACATCAATAATGTGAACAAGAAGGTATGGCTTACAAGTTGAAATGTTTAATTCTGCTGCAAGTCCAAATGAATGCCAAAGTCCCAAGTCTAGACTGTTCTCCTGTGGAGCCTCCTTGAGGTTCCTTTAATATTCCTGGTTCTCGTGCTGCAGATGAAGGGATTTCACACAGGAGTGGCCAAGAGTGAA